GTTTTAGATCAGTCCCATTGTCAGCTTGGGAAACGTCCACCTCTACTTCCACGTTCTTATCCAAATAAGGTACTTACACGAAGACTCCATTGTGTCATGGAAAATGTGTTTTCTGGATATTTCTGTTTGGCAAGGAATATAATTTTTGTCATTCTTCGAACTTTTGTGGAAAAGGGCATCCTGCTTTGAATACGAGAAGTCATTTTCCTGAAACAGTTTTATGTTTTCCACTTTTGTTGATTATGTGCTACGCATAGAACTACATATTTTCCAAGCAAACATTTTCACCAGGAAACAGTTCCCTCAACAATTTATTTTTTTACAATTAGACAGAGCCTAACTTGCTTCGAAATAATATATTGAGAATCTTATGAGTTCTAGTTATAAAGGTCAGATGTTTTTATTTGATAATCATTTTCTTTTCCATCTTATCCGAGACAACCAAATAACTTTCTCGTTAATTACCTGTGTCCTTTCTAATATTCTTATGAATGTTCTTAGCAGAGTTCAACTGCTAAATCTTCATCAGCAACTCATATACCAAGTATAAAGGCCCGTCCATCACAACGAAAAACGGTAACCAATAACAGCCACAAACTGCCTGTTATTGATAGACAAGTTAGTAGAGGGTCATCAAAGCAAAGATTACACCCAGGGATGTTATCCTCTCAGGATCGTGCCACTGCTCATTATGGTGTGGTTAGTAGTTTGAAAGTGACTAATGATGGCATGTACCTTTTAAGTGCAGGTTGGCTTGGTTTCTTTTATAATCCGTAGTCTGTACTCTGTACTACATAATTTATTTTTGTTTGTTTCTATCATCATCAAATATTTGAAGAAATTAATGACGATTTTGTCATGTCCTATAGATTTTAGCTGTGTTTGGACTTCTTAAAGTGGCAGGTAATGGGAAAAATTGCTGAATATTTTTATATAAAATATTTGGTTTTATTTTTCCCATAATTTGTTTTCCTTCCATCCAAAATTATATCTACCTCCCTGTTTTGCTTTCCATAGTATTTTTCTGGTTCCAAACAGACCCTTAGGTTACAAGTTTATGACTCCAGGTACGGATTCAAGGTTGAGATTGTGGGATATAGAGTCTGGTTGCAACACGCTTGTAAACTATGAAACTGCACGCCTTCAAACTACTAAGGCCCTACAAGTTGCTATATCTGATGATTCTACTACGGTCTTTGTTCCATGCATGACGACCACTAAAGTAAGAACCTTTGCTGCTAATTCAATTCTTAAAATTACTAAGAATCTTGATTTCGTCTACATAAGTGATCTTTTTTAAAAAAGATTCAAATTACAAGTGTAAAAAATATAGGAGTACTGCGTATTTAAATGTTTATTACTACATATCTCCTAGGCATCTGACATATGGTTGGGAAAGGCAGTGATGTATAAAAAGATTCGAATTAAGTGTATGGAATTTATTTGACTGTTTAATATCCTTTAGGCATTTGACTTATGGTCGGGAAAGGCAGTGATGAATTTCCGTGGACATTATGAGAATGTAAATTGTTGTTGGTACAATTCTCAGGAGCAGGTATAAACCTCTCCTCTCATATGCTCGTCCATTATACCAATGACTTTTTAGGTGTGGATGAGATTTGTTAAACTTATCTGCCTGCCTTTGTTGCAGGAACTATATACGGGAAGTAATGACAGGCAAATTCTCGTCTGGTCGCCAGCCAAAACTGTTATTGAAGATGAATCTGTATACATCAAATAATCCCTACTTGTTTTATCTATATATATATATATATAGAGTAGTGTTCCTGTCAGGACCTCCAAAAACGGACCTCCGTACGGACCTCGACGTTTGGGCCCCTTCCAGGTGGAATTTTTTGATGAAATTTTTTGAGCATGTTCTTCATCAAGTCTAGTTTACCCATACCAAATTTCAGCTAAAAATTCCATCGGGAAGGCGGTCAAATGAATTTTTGAAGTTAACTGGGCACTTTATATACATATAAAATGCAGTTAACTTCCAAAAATTATTTTACTGCCTTCCCGATGGAATTTTTAGCTGAAACTAGACTTGATGAAGAACATGCTAAAAAAATCATCAAAAATTTCCACCGTGAAGGGGCCCAAACGCCGAGGTCCGTACAGAGGTCCGTTTTTGGAGGTCCATGAACTTTCCTCTATATATATATATAGAGAGGAATGATCCTGTCCAGCTGGAGGGACAGGATCTTCCGTCCGGCCGCCGCCGTTTGGGGCGGTTCCCGGTGGAGTTTTTTGATAAATTTTTTATGGAATGTTCCTCATCAAGTCTAGTTTATCCACAAAATGTTTCAGCTAAAAATTCAATCGGGAAGGCAATCAAATAATTTTTTGAAAATAACTGCTCCAAATTAAACATATAAAACACAGTTATGTTTCAAAAAATTATTTGACTGTCTTCCCGATCGAATTTTTAGCTAAACTTTTTTGTGGATAAACTAGACTTGATGAGGAACATTCCATAAAAATTTCATCAAAAAAAGTCACCGGGAACCGCCCTAAGCGGCGGCGGCGGCCGGACGGAGGATCCTGTCCCTCCGGCTGGACAGGATCTTTTCCGTATATATATATATATATATATATATATATATATAGAGAGAGAGAGAGAGAGAGAGAGGAATGATCCTGTCCAGCCGGAGGGACAGGATCTTCCGTCCGGCCGCCGCCGTTTGGGGCGGTTCCCGGTGGAGTTTTTTGATGAAATTTTTATGGAATGTTCCTCATCAAGTCTAGTTTACCCACAAAAAATTTCAGCTAAAAATTCGATCGGGAAGGCAGTCAAATAATTTTTTGAAGATAACTGCTCCAACTTAAACATATAAAACGCAGTTATGTTTCAAAAAATTATTTGACTGCCTTCCCGATCGAATTTTTAGCTGAATTTTTTTGTGGATAAACTAGACTTGATGAGGAACATTCCATAAAAATTTCATCAAAAAACTCCACCGGGAACCGCCCCAAACGGCGGCGGCCGGACGGAGGATCCTGTCCCTCCGGCTGGACAGGATCTTTTCCATATATATATATATGGAACCGCCGTCCGGCCGGCGGCGTTTGGCCGCCTTCCCGGTGGAATTTTTTGATGAAATTTTTATGGCATGTTCTACATCAAGTCTAGTTTATCCACAAAAAAATTCAGCCAAAAACTCAATCGGGAAGGTCGTCAAATGATTTTTGCAAGTTAACTGGTCCGGAATATGTATTTTCCGGACCAGTTAACTTGCAAAAATCATTTGACGACCTTCCCGATTGAGTTTTTGGCTGAATTTTTTTGTGGATAAACTAGACTTGATGGAGAACATGCCATAAAAATTTCATCAAAAAATTCCACCGGGAAGGCGGCCAAACGCCGCCGGCCGGACGGCGGTTCCTGTCCGGACGTCTGGACAGGATCAGGACTCTATATATATATATATATATATATATATATATATATATATATATATTTGTTTTTGTTTTATATCAGCATGCATATGTGCGCGTCACATTCATATGTACATACTCGCATACTAACATATGTATATACTTCGTATATTTTATACATATATGTGTGTGCGCGCGTGTGGGTATTTGGTAGAATCTTATAAGTTGTGCTCCAATTTGATGGTTGTAATGCAGAATTTAAAGATGAAAATGGGTGTTGATGAAGATAATTGGAGCGACTGAAGATCATTGTACATCTTTTACTGGGTTTGCTTGTGTTTGAAGGTCTTCTGGTGTTTAATTCATTATTATCTTTTATTAGCAAACATAGACCTACACGAAGAATGAATTGAACAATAATAATTTTGGAGGGGGTGTATCTGACAATAAAATTACCCCGCCTCTTCTTTGTGTAGCCTTCTTTTTCGGTCATGTTTGAATGTTGATCTACATACTTTATACTCCGTAATATATTTAAGCCTTCCCCCATCTCCATCCTTTTTTGCAGAAACCCAATCTCCGTCTATATTCTAAAAATTGCTAGTACTTGTCTGGCACTACTCTCAGTCTCACTCTCACATAGGGGTGACACGCTACGGTTCTGGGTCTGAACCCGTTCCGGTTCCATATATTGACTAGAATTGGGTGGTTTTGGTTCGGTTGTTCGATTTTTATTTTTCTATTTTATATGTATGTATATATATATATAAATATTTACATATTTTTATTAATAATATACTACTCCGTATGATATAATATACTCCGTATTATTAATAATATACTACTCAAATATTTACATAGATTATATATGTAGTACTGAGTATTGACTATTGAGTAATCCCTCGGCCCTACAATTATTCAAGTCCTAGGCGGACGTTTTATCATGATCATCAATAAATATTTTGTAATTGACATTTGAGTAATACATATTATAAGGAAGCAAATAAAATTAATTTTGTGTGAAATATTGTTGATTTTGAACAATTGACGGTCAAAGTTTAACAAGTTTGACTCAAAAGTCAAATTGGGACTTTAATCGAGGGATGGGGATAGTATTATACCCCATATAATGTTATAGTAATTATTATAGTTTTAATATTATATATTGTCATAATCCATAATGTAATAAATAAGTGACATTTGTGTAAGTAATATAAGTTGTACTATATTGTAATAATATGTAAAAGAAACATAAAACCAAAAAAATCAAATTGGGCTGTCTGAAGTTGGACTGGGACCGGCCAGAGCCGGCTGGGTAGACAAGGACCAATTTTGGTTTTGGAATTGACAGCAGGCCGGTTCAAAACAGCTCTTGTTTCACGCCTGGCCTTGCGCGGTTGCACCAAGCGGAATGTAGAAGATACATAAGATGTAAGTATTTTATAAGTAATTGTCTGTGTGTATATATATATGGAGGAAGCGGTCCAGCCCAGTTGGTTGCCGACTCATTCTCCCTTATCTCAGGTTAGAAACTCAATGAAGTGAGTTTAAGCTCTGATTACTCCAGGCACCCCAGGTCCCCGGAGTAAAAAACAAAATAAAACATCAATGACATTGCAAACAATAATTTATACTTTTATCATTCAGTGCAACTACCCGACAAATTACAAAATTGTACTCCGTATACCATAAATATATTTGTAAGCTGGATACAGTTTTCTTAGTTTGTCAATAGTTTATTTACTTGCCAACTGACAAGCATATTTAATGTTGTGTCTTGGAACATATCTCCTACATGGCGTTCTTCGGTAGAATTCGAAGCCTATATGGCTATATATCATTATTAGACGTTAGATGATCTAAAGAATCAGTTAAAAGTATCCTTGAGAATTAGCATATTACATATCTGATTTGGCACTGAATCACAAAAATACGTTTCATCAAGGCACAAGAGAAAGGGAGACACCAAATTTGGGGATATGTTTCCTGGACTTGGTGTCAAATGATCCAGACACCTCCAAGAAAGACTTAGACTTCAACTCGTGTTGTATTACGGTTCCGATTTTGCCGTGACTGTTGAGCTTCGCCTTCACAGTCGTATGAGGATTGACAGCGCATGAACATCCCACTGTTAGCTTGTTCTCTTTTGTAGTTAACTTTCTTGTCATCTCTCCCGCAATGCTTCCTCTCTTTTTCTCCCCCAAATAGTGTAAATATGTTGCTTTCACTGCATCTCCTTTCTCAGCTCTACAACCAGGAATTATTAAAACTATTATTACTAAACATGGCTAGATGATAGCTAGGTAGGGCGAGAAGTAGAGTATCTTAAATGTTAGTAGGGTGATAGAAGGAATATCTTAGTCTTGTTAGTCTATTTTTTATATTTAACAGGTGTAAGATAAACATTTTAACAAGTATAGTTAAGCATGGCCCCCACAACTCTAACAGGCAGACGAGTAACGAATCCAACACGTTAAAAAGGTCCTCAATACCTCAAAAACAAAAAATATGTACTAGATCCAAACTCAGCTGACCAAAGACCACCTATGTGTAATATTTCTAATTTAACTAAAATAATACAGACAACTTACAGAATTAAAGAAATATCAAAATTGGGATTTTTCAAGCAAATGCCTGCATTGTATCTTGTAATCTTTTGAGAAGCAAAGGCGTAACGGGCATCTGTTCCAACAGCAATGCGTGAAGTGCCAACTGTTGCTGATACGTCAATAACAGGAGTCTTCTTCCGCATAGCAATAGCCACAGTCAACCTCGCATTTTCATCGCAATATTGAGCCTCAACCTGCAAAATAAAGCAGTTCTAAAAATGATGAATAGAAATAACATAACATTATAACAAACCAAACCCAATTTGACAGTATTGCAACAAATGCAAAAGAAGTTACCTTCCCATCTTTATAATGAGGTAATGTACATGAGGCAATAGCCTTTGTTGATGGAAGAATATCATTAATGGTCAAACTCACTGAGATCTGTATTGCAAGAATTGGTCAGAATATTACACCAAATATGATTACGAATTAAAGACAGATAGAGCATACATTTGATTCAATGTCTGCTTTGACATGCATAGTACTGTTCTTGCATTTCAAGGTTGCTGCCACATCTCCAGTTGAGAGCCTTCCCTTGTGAGCTAAAGTTGAAACTATGGCCTGTATAGAGCATATGAATGATATTAAACTATGGCCTTCCCTTGACTTTTATTTCAGAACACATTCATGCTCAAAGAATTTATCGAGTATTAAAGTGCTTAATATATATAATAATAAAAAAGAACTCTTCAGTATATTTTAAAATCAAATATACGTAGTATGTAGGAAAACGTATGAAACATATAAGATGTTTTCTTTTAGATTGAAATTTGGTGGTCTGGTTTGGTCTGAACTGGTTTGTAAATGTCTGGTCTCTGTGTATTTTATAAGTCCGGTCTAGTCTGGTTTGATCGGTTCTGTGGGACTGATAACAGTCCAAAAGAAAACATCCATACTGAAGCTCATTATATTCAAATATGAGATACCTATATATCAAAATTATGAATTAAATGCCAAGCTACTTATTTGAATTTTTACGAATACCTTACAAGTCTACTAATGAGCTAGTTGAAGGCAATTTTGAGTTTATTTCTTTATTTATCTTAACAAGCCTAATAATGAAGTCGAGAAGCTTTCCTAGATCGTGCATTTGAATACTTCCCGAGCAATTCTATTGATTTAGAATCCTGAATATAAAACAAAGCCCTGATTGATGCCAAACAGAAACAGTGAAAACAGGGATAGACTGCTTACAACTCCGTCTTTGCTCCGAGAAGAGACTGTGAACCTTTGATCGTAATTATAATACCCTGTTGTCAGGACTTCTGCAAAAAGGGAAAATTGAGAAAATTAAATCGAAACTTTGCCGAACTTTGAGTATCCTACATACGGAGTACGTTATTATGCATAAAGTTGAGAAACTTTGAAGAAATGTTGAGATCATTACATACTTTTAGCCTTTTTACCGAAATTGGAGATGTGATCGGGTTCATTAGAGCTCATATTTTCACTGCGGAAGCGCCCGATGGGCGCTGGTGATCGGTGTCTGGTGGTGGGCGATTAAGATCAAGTCAAGAACAAGAATATTCAGTCGTGGTTAATTTTTAGGAAAGATGCCATTAATTGTTGGGAAAAGGGACAAATTAGTTGCTATGGTTGGGATAAAAGTGTAACTAAGATACTAAGAGTCTGTTTGGTAGCACAAAAATCAGTTGTTTTGACCGATTCTGTTGAAATTTATGAAGTTCTGGCTGAAGTGGATGTATTGGTTGATTCTGCTAATTTGAGTAATAATATAAAGAAAAATATATGTAAAAATAGCTAAAATAATCATCTACAGTAACTTCAGCCAATATGGTCAGAAAAGTAACTACAACCTTACTTTTACTGCTTATTACACAATTCAGTGCGCGAAAGTAAAAGTTACGTGTTTGGTAAAAAAGTTGGTTGATAAGTCTGATAAGGAAAAAAACAGTATTATCAAACGGTCTCTAAACTTTTTTAATAGATTACACCAAAGTAAAATACTTGAAATGCACCACATCAAAGTATCTTGGGGGCAACTTTTTTTTCCAATCACCTTTGTCACCGGGGAATCAATAGAAAACCTACATTACAGAATTCATTTTTAAAAAATAAATTAAACAGATCAAAATATCCAAAAAGGGATATGATTTAGAGGTTTCTTTGACGAGACGCATCTCTCATTATTTTTCTTGTAATATTTTGGACACTTTTGAAAATCACATCCTTTCTGTGATAATGGTATTTAAACACATGACCTATTTTGTTTAAAAATGAAACTTACACCCATATTTAAAAAATAAGCCCAGCACGAGATACATATTCCATACATTTCTCTCTTTTTTTATCATTTTTATCTACTACGTAGTACATATAATTTTTAACGGAAATTGTTCTAAATAGGACTAATGAGTTCCTAAAAAGCACAAATAGAACTACTACTTTTAAAACTCCCTAAATAGGACTAAACATTGATTTTCTACCCTAAATGCCCCTAAGAGTATTAATTCATAATGAAATGCTTTAATTCATAATAAAATCATAAAAACGTAAAAAATATTTTAAAAACGTAAAAAATATTTTAAAAACGTAAAAAAAATATAAAAAATTTATAAAAAAATTATAAAATAAAAAATTTAATTTTTTATTTTTTTTAATTTTTTTAAAAAAATAATAAAAAATAGTAAAAACCCATAAAAAATGAAAAAAATTATGGATACCTTTCCCACTGCCTCCCAGCACCACCACCTCCGATTGGTGAAATTTCTTCCACTTTTGGTAAAAAAAATGCCATATTTTTCTGAAAATGCTAAAAAGATGGCATAATTACTCTTCAATATGCCAACATTTTCATTAAATATGTCATCATTATGGCATTATTTAAAATGTTGTCATATTTTTTCTCCGGTGATAGGAGCTGGTGGTGCTGGGGGGTGGCAGGGGTGGTAATGTTTTTTATTTTATTTTATGATTTTCTTTCTATTTTTTTTAATTTTTATTTTATTTTTTAAAAAAATTTTTTTATTAATTTTCTATTATTTTTTTTACGGTTTTTAGTATTTTTCGATTTTTATTAATTTTTTATGATTTTATTATTAATTAAAACATTTCACAAGTTACAAGGGTATATTTGTCCAAACACACATAAATAGTCCTATTAAGGGAATTTAAAAAATGTAGTCCAAGGAATTTAAAAAATGTAGTCCAAGGAATTTAAAAAAGGATACGGAAGCCATCGGTGTCCAGGAGGTAATTAATTGGATCAAATAGTTGGACAAATATATACGGAAGCCATCGGTTCCGCACAGAAGTTGCACAACCCATCCACTTCCACGCGCCTTTTAAGGAGATTAACTGATGTCGGAAGAATGTCGGACATAACCTTCCAGAAAAAACATTTAATTTTAGGGGGATATTTAACTTCCACACCTTGGTCCACCCGGTCCATCCTGACTCCTGGAACTCTCATTTAAGCTTTCTGTAGTCGCTCTTCACTATGTAGATGCCCCGCGGGTCTGCGTTCCACCATATCCCGTCCACAACCCGTCTCGTACTCAGAGGGATGCTCAAAATATTTTCCTTCTCTTCAGCCGAGAACAAAGATGTGATTCTACCCACATTCCATCTATCACCCCTTTCATTAAGCGAGGCGGCCACGTTCATATCCGAGATTCCTGTTCGCAGTGGGGTGTGAATCATACCATCATTCGTTCTAGGTAGCCACCTTTCTTCCCAAACCAAGATAAATTGGTCATTTCCCACTATCCTACGCAAGCCTCCCTCCATTAAACCTTGATTGTGAATAATGCTACTCCAAATGAAGGAGGGGTTGCCCCCCGTTTCCGCCTGCAAGAAAGAACAGTTAGGATAATATTTTGCCTTAAAGATCCAGCCGACTAAAGACTCGGGCTGTTTGATTAGGCGCCATGCTTGTTTCCCCAACATTGCAATATTAAATTCTCTCAGCGAGCGAAAACCGAGTCCTCCCTTCTGCTTAGGGTAGCACATGGCCTGCCAGGATTTCCACTGGATGCCTCTCCTAGTTGAGTCGAGACCCTTCCACCAGTACCCATTCATAATAGTTTCAATTTGTGAACACAGATCCTTGGGAAGTAGAAAGACGTTGATCACATAAGATGGCATAGCCTGAATGACTGTCTTGAGCATAATTTCATGTCCTGCTTTGGATAGTAATTTATTGTTCCAGTTTCCAATCCTGTTGATAATTCGCTCCTTTAAGTAACTCAGAATTTCAGTCTTTTTCCTTCCCACAAGAGCCAGGAGCCCCACATAACGTGGCCTGCTATCTTCCGTATTAACCTTCAAAAAATTGCAAATAAATCCCTTCAAATCCTCGCTAATGTTTGGGCTAAACATTAGCGAAGATTTGTTATAGTTAACTTGCTGGCCGGATTCCTCCTCATAATGCTGTAGGGTGTTTTTGATCGTCTGACATTCCCCTTCACGAGCTCTGAAAAATAAGTAACTATCATCTGCAAAAAAGAGGTGTGAAACTCTCGGTGCACGTCTAGCCACTGGTATGCCCAAAACATTACCCATACCCTCCTGTGTTCGAGTAAGTGCACTTAAACCCTCCACTCTCAAAATGAATACATATGGTGATAGCGGATCACCTTGTCTAAGCCCTCTGGATGGGGTTATGGGTCCTATCATCTCGCCGTCAAAAGGAACATAATATTCCACGGACGAGCAGCATGCCATAATTAAGTTGATCCATTTTGGATAAAAAATCATACCCTGCATGATTCGTTTCAGGTAACTCCATTCGACATGATCGTAAGCTTTGCTCATATCGAGCTTAAGGGCTACCAGACCCTCTTTTCCATGTCACTTTTGCTTCAAATGGTGAATTGTTTCAAATGCTACCATCACATTATTATTAAAAATTCTAGCGGCCCGGAATAAAAGCACTTTGATTAGCAGAGATAAGGCCATTAAGAAGGCCTTTTAATCTATTAGCTAGCACTTAAGTAAAGATTTTTATTATCACATTGCAAAGGGAGATCGGCCTCCAATCCTCAACCCTCAATTAAATATGAAAGAATGACACAAATAGTATTGTTAACTTTTTAAACAACAAATATAAAATCTAATTTTAAATTGGACAAAGAAAGACTAGACTTGAAACATCAGACCTAAATACCCTTCCACCAACTCCTCTCACCTTCCGTCTCCACTAGTCCACCCTCCGCTTCCGACTCATCTTCCGCCGTAGCTCACCTCAACCCAAGGTGTCTTCAGTCACCACCATCGTTAGCATCTCATCATCTCCATCACCGCCATCATCGTAGACCAAGCTCATCGTTTTGCCACCATCTCCATCGACCATGGTTGTCAATCTTGTTCTCCTTCGTCAATCGTCGATTCATGTTCAGATCCAGGATGGCGTGGCCGCACGGTGGCGGCGATGGATAGCTGACTTCGGCAATCCGGCGAGGGTTTTGGTTACACTAGGTGATACCAAAATTTGTTCTTGACGGTTAGGGGTTGCAGTGTAGGTTGATGATTGCGCCCAGGGGTTGGGTGATGGGTATGGTTACAGGGGGTGGTGCAAGGATGAGAGGACTATGTGGCAACACTTTGTCGTAGTGTGCCTCGAAATAAATATTCAACACAACAATTATATGTAGTATAATGAAAGGAGTGTTTGGGGTTGATTAAAAAAAGCGCTTTTCAGCTTTTGGCTTAAAAAAAGTTGAAAAGAGTGTTTTCAAATGATAGCTTCTGCTTAAATTAATCACTTAAAAGCTAAAAGCTGGAAGCAGGTAGAAGGGTGCTTTAAACTGCTTCTCACTTTTTCTATTACACAAAAAGTACTTATTTTACCAAACACTACCAACTTTTACTTTTTCAGAATCACTTTTTTCTCAAACACTACCAACTTTTACTATTAATCACTTTTCCCAAAATCACTTTCAAAAATCACTTTTTTAAAGTGGAAGCAATCGCAAACACTCACGAAGTAAGGTTCTCTTTTAATTAACTAGTAACAAGGGGGGTTTTGTATTATTTTTTAACTTTAAGAATATGTAAACACCAAGATGAATGACTTATGTGGTTTAATTAATTGGAGATGAGACTTTGTTTTGCTTATATCCACTTAATGAAATGTTAGTCGATTCTGGTTATATCTTTAACTATCTTCCTCTCGAATACTCAATCGAGGAGTATATCCATTTCATCGAGGGTAGTTATTAATAACGAGAAGCGTTCATTAATAATGTAACACCGCCCCCAAGTATTTGTACTTTACCAAATTATGTATTGAACTCTGGGAAATGAATAAACGCATTTTACGTAATTGTAAATTTTTATCATTTCTCTTACGTGAATAATAGAATTCACGTGGGGCCCACACCGGAAGTGGGGGCCACCCGATATTATCGGGACCACATATTATATTCGTTCAGGTCAAGATAACATGTGTATGATGGTGGATATCCTTGTTGGACCATATAAATTATGTGAGTAACCAATAGGGCATATAAAGCTCATTTATCGGTACCGATGCACTAACAGATAAAAGGCCATAATAAATTATGGAGACCACCAAATTAAAAGTTGGGGATTATACATGCATTCTTATATCCAATAATAATTGGA